TACTACACCGGTGACGTGTCACCAGCTGCAGCTCTCAGGCAAGTAAGTGCTTTTGTGTCTCTATAAATAGCAGACGGCCATGTTTCATCCCTGTGATGTGTTGCTTTGAAGTGCCTCTTATTTGTTTTTGATCCGAGTGTCTGCCTTTTGCATAAACCAAGTATTCTGTGTAAAAAGAAACCATCTGCCTCCTACTGATGTCTTCCACTCACACTGCGTTGATCACCGGCCCATGCTTCGCTCCTACCTGAGGTTGCCAGGTGTTTCGTACTGCTCCGGAGAGGACGGCGGTGAGATGTCATCACTCTGCGACGGGGCTTTGCTCTCTTGAGTCTGCAGTGAGTTGAACAGTCGCTTGACCACTCCCGCGTCCTGCTTCTTCCGCTTCGCCTTCGGGGCTGCGGGTGCAAAAGTCAGATTCAACAACCATCAAACACGACAAGGACGAACGAGACCAGTGTGATCTGAGGGTGAACTCACTGATGGACGGATCCACCAGCAGGTGCTCTACGTCACGAATGTCGCTTTCTGGAAGCTGCTTCTGACGTTTCCCCGGTTTGGAGGATTCCTCTGAGCCAACACACATAAATAAATAAACAGACAGCCGAGACAATCACTCTGTTACGAGGAGTATCTCACATATTGTACCAATAATGCACACAACATCTCACAGTAAGGACATTACTTTCACAGTCTACATTAATAACTTCCATCCCACTGTCTGGGGCTCTATGCAGCCACTAAAATATAAAAACCCACAGAACTTAATTCAATCACAGATCAAATGCTTCCAAGAGATGTGTCAGGTTGAATTTTGATGCACATAAACTCGTAAAATGATTCACAAGACATATTAAATACACGTAGGTATATGTGATATATTCTCAGGCAAACTACTTAAAATTAAAGCAAACTAGGTGTTAAATGCACAATTTTTGTGAGTTTGATGACTAAACGAGAACTGTTAATTGTGAAGTTCAGTAAGTAAAATGAACAACAACAGATCAAACAGAGATGGAGGTCTGCAGTGTAGAAGTACAATTAAAAATGTTACTAAAGTACAGAAGTAAAAGTACTTAATTATAATCCAGTAATATGATTATAATTACTGATGCATCATTGTGCACATCACTTTAATATTGCAGCTGGTAACAGGTGGAGCTTATAATATATATATATATATATATATATATATATATATATATATATATATATATATATATATATAT